CAAATGCAACCCCGATGGAAGAACTGGAAACTTTCTCCGCCAACCTAGAAGACCCCAATCAGGTCTTGCGCATAGGGAAGACGCTATCCCCTGAAACAAAAGAAGAGATGATAAGCTTGCTGAAAAGGAACTTGGATGTCTTTGCTTGGAAGCATGAAGACATGGTGGGAATAGATCCAAGGATCAGCTGCCATCATCTTAACATCAACCCCTCTTGTGCCCCCCATCGACAGAAGAGACATGCCCTCAACCCAAATAGGTACGAGTCACTGAAAGACGAAGTGAATAAACTTAGCAGCAGTGGTTTCATAAGGAAAGCCATCTACTTGAAGTGGATATCCAACCCGGTTCTGGTGAAAAAGCCCAGTGAAAAGTGGGGTGTGCGTAGACTTCACAAACTTGAGTAGGCGTGTCTTAAAGACAGCTTCCCGCTTCCAAGGATAGACCAACTTGTGGATTCCACTCCTGGACACGAACTTCTGAGTTTCATGGATGCATACTCAAGGTACAACCAGATACCCATGTTCCGACCTGATGAAGAAGCTACATCGTTTATTAGGGACAGGGGTCTGTACTGCTACAAAGTCATGCCATTCGGATTGAAGAATGCCGGGGCTACATATCAGAGGCTGGTCAACATGATGTTTGCCGAACTCATTGGCAAAACCATGGAGGTCGGCGTGAACGACATGTTAGTCAAAAGCCTCCGGGCAACCGAACACGTCAGTCACCTCGACCAAACTTTTCAGATACTTAGAAAATATAAGATGAAGTTGAATCCCCTCAAATGCACCTTTGGAGTGACATCAGGTCAGTTCTTGGGATATATTATCAATCAAAGGGGAATTGAAACAAATCCAGTGAAAATAAGGGCCTTATTAGAGATGAGGTCACCTTAGAAATCAAAGGAGGTCCAAAGCCTCAATGGTCGAGTAACCGCACTCAGTCGTTTCATCTCCAGGGCCAAAGATAAAAGCTTGCCTTTCTTCAATGTGCTGAAACAAAGAAAGAAATTCCAATGGACTTCGGAATCTGAGAAAGCCTTCCAGGCACTGAAAAAGCACCTCAGAGAGGCGCCACTCTTGTCAAAACCTCAACTGGATGAGTCACTACTGCTGTACTTAGCGATTTCGAACATGGCGGTCAGCGCCGTCCTAGTCAAAGAAGAAAGTGAGTGCCAGTTGCCAGTGTACTACGTCAGCAAAGCATTTCTCCCAGCTGAAACACGCTACCCAGGCATGGAGAAACTGGCACTCGCCCTTATCACAACCTCAAGAAAACTGAGGTCGTACTTCCAGTCCCACTCAATTCAAGTTCTCACCAACTTCCCACTGAAGCAGGTAATGCAGAAAACAGACGCGTCAGGACGCCTGCTAAAATGGGCAATTGAGCTCAGTGAGTTCGATCTAACGTTCCGACCTCGACACGCCATCAAGGGCCAGACCCTTGTTGATTTTATGGTTGAGTTTGCCAAAGCCCCAGAAATGGAGGCGATAATGGAACCAATCGAGTTTGCCAAAGCCTCGAACAACGTCGCTGAATATGAGGCCCTTCTGGCAGGTCTTAGACTTGCTAAAGAGATGCAGGTCAGAAGGCTCCTGGCGAGCAGCGATTCTCAACTTATAGTGAATCAGGTCAATGTGAACTTCGCGGCCAAGGACAGTAGCATGGTTGCATACTTGAAGTTGGTTCTGGACCTAGTTCCTCATTTTGAAAGGTTCGAACCGACTCAAGTCCCCCGTCTAGAAAATACACATGCAGACGCCCTTTCAAAAACTGGCCAACAGAAAGGATTCAGAGCTGCTAAAGGTTGTCCCTATTGAGCACTTATCAAAGCCCTCCACCTCCGGAGGTGAAGAGGTACTATGGATAGAAGGCACCCCATTGTGGATGCAACCTATCATCGCCTATCTGAAAGATCAATCCCTGCCTGCCTCTAGAAGCGAGGCGCGGAAGTTAAAAAGAAGGGCTGTACATTTCGTCCTGCAAGAAGATACCCTTTACAAGAGAGGTTTTGCCTCGCCACTTCTCCGATGCGTGGGAGGCGAAGAGGCCACATACATACTCAGGGAAATCCATGAGGGAATATGCAGAAATCACTCCGGAGGAACGGCTCTGGCACACAAGGTTATCCGTCAAGGCTACTTCTGGCCGACCCTAAAAAGGGACGCATGCCAGTTTGTCCAGAAATGCGACAAGTGCCAGGGCTTCTCAAATATTCAAAGGCAGTCTTCTCAGAGCCCCTGGCCATTCGCCAAGTGGGGATTTGACTTCATTGGTCCCCTCCCAAAAGGAAGAGGAAACGCAACTTTTGCCATTGTCGCCATTGATTACTTCACTAAGTGGGTCAAGGCTGAACCCCTTGCCAAGATCACCGAGGTGAACACTACTAAATTCATCTGGAAGAACATCATTTGTAGGTTCGGCATTCCCCACTCCTTAGTGTCCGACAATGGAAGATAGTTCGACAACAAGAGGATGCAAGAATTGTGCGACGAGCTGAGCATTAAGAAGGACTTCTCAACGCCTCATCACTCTCAGGCAAATGGACAAGTTGAGGTAGTGAACAAGACTATCAAGCACACCCTGAAAAGGAAGCTTGACACCTCAAAAGGGGCTTGGGTGGACGAGCTCCCCCACGTCCTTTGGGCCATCAGAACATCTAGCCGAACTGCAACAGGGTAAACACCATTCTCAATGACCTATGGAGCCGAGGCTATGAGCCCGGTCGAGGTCGGGGTCCCATCACACCGTCAGATACACTTCAATGAGATCAGCAACGACGAGACTCGAATAAGCGAACTGCACCTCCTTGAGGAAAGAAGGGATGCCTCCCAAGTGAACTTGGCAAAGTATCATCGAAAGATGACCCGCTATTATAACTCCAAGGTCAGAAATAGAACTCTTCGCCTGGGCGACCTCGTCCTCAGAAGGGTCTTCCAATCTTCAAAACTAACCGGGTTAGGAGTGTTTAGACCAAACTGGGAGGGCCCTTACCGCATCCGCAGGGAATCCCTACCTAGTACTTTCGAAATTGAAGACATGGCAGGAAAGGCACTGCCTCATCAATGGAACATCGAACACTTGAGGAAGTACTATCAATGATGAGCCTTTGTTCCGATCCGATCTCAATATTGTCTAATGAATCGATTGTTCTGATTTGATCTCAGTTGTAAATTCCCTAGCTTACTAAGTGCTGGAATTGCCTTGGTAAAGTATGGTGTAATTTATCTCAAGTAATGAAACTTCGGTTCTGTGCCACATCGGTTAGTAAATAGTTTCCTCAGTCCTTCAATATGTTTACTTAAGTGATCCGATCTTCAATTATTAACTGATTAACGTTAAGAGGCTCTTCATGTTTGCTTAAGTGGTCCGATCTCAAATTGTTAACCGGTTAGCGTTAAAAGTCGCTTTGTGTTCGCTTAAGTGATTCAACTTATATAAACTTGAGTGGTTCAATCCTCAATTATTAACTGGTTATTGTTACGAGACGCTTAGTCTGATGTTTGTCATTCATACAAGTATAAACAGATCCAAAAGGTAAGAAAGTAGAAGCACAAATACTTACAAAAAATTTCATTTCATTTAATGAGAATTGAAGTACAAGAAGGCCGAAGCCATTACAAAAGATGGCCCTATTCTGCATCGACCGCTTCTGCATCAGCCGCCTTCGGGGCCTCCAGAGCTTCCTTAGCAAGCCTATCAGGCTGACCTCCAGTTGGTCCCCCAAACTTTGCCTCCAAAGAGGAGATGTCCAGAGTGGGGTGGACCTCTTTCAGTCGACCCAATAAGCCTTGGGCACTCCAAAAGGTCCAAAAATTGGCGAAGTCATCATACAGGGGATGGTCTTCGAAATGGTCAATGAAGTTCTGAACTGACACCTCCCCTGCAGACTTCAACTTCTCCTTCAAGGAGGCAATCTCCTCAGATTGAGCCTCTGCCTTCTGCTTCAGCTCCGCGTTCTCTTTGTTTGAGGCCTCCAGAGCCTCAGTGGCGAGCTTGTGGTACTCGTTGGCGTGATCAACTTGTCGAGTCATAGCAGCCACTTGGCACTCCACCTCGTATAACTCCTTCTTTAGCCGCTTCACTTCTGCTTTGGCGACAGTTAGCTGGGCCTCAGCCTCCTTCTTTCCCTCCTCCGCCTGCGTGGCCTTGGCTCCGACCTCTCACACAGCATCCCCATATTGCATCACCTCCTCGAGGCGCTTGGCGAGATCCTCCTTCTTGGAGTTCAGATCCTTCACCAGGCCCTCGAGTTGGATGCTTGTACTTAGGGCCCGAGCCACGCAGGCGCTGTTGGCAACCACCAAGTCTTCAGCTGTGCAGGAGGCGGTGTGATCCCTCCACTTCTTGGTCCAGTATTTGTTGTGGACCACCGCTACTGCAGCCATTTCTGGAGGAAGGGCCTCCAGCACTTTCCTCACCGGCTCCTCCGAATTTGTGCCCAGAAAATCGACCTCCTTAGAGGAACGGGCCCTCTTCCTCTTCTGCTGCCTCAGTACTTGAGCGATTGGCGTTGCAGCAAGTGGTGTTGTGGCCGGGGCAGTGGCACCCTCAGATGTTGCAGGCCTCTTCTCCGGAATGGCCACCCCGGTTGGAATTGTGGTCTGCTTCAGAAAGGGGGGTGGCCTCGCCCCAGTTGGGCATTTTGGAGGGGCGACACTCTTCTTGCCTTTCCTCTGTAGATCAGCCTCCGGGTCCTCCGGTACCTCCTTCTCCGTCGGAGGCTGAAGCCTTTTACTGAAGTCCACCAGATCCTCTATTTGCTTCTTGTAGGAGAAGGAGGAGGCCTTCAGTGCCCGTGCCTCTACCATCATCCTCTGGATGGTCTTAAAGTTGAAGCGCACAGGCATCTTCTTATTAAAATTGTCTGCAAGGAACGAATGACGAATTAGTACAAGTGTTAAAAGTTCAGAATAAATGGTAAAGACTTCGGTCCAGTTACCTTGGGATGCCATCAAGTAGTGTGTAACGAAGTGAATGTTCTTTCGGATCAGTCGATGGTATGCCATCTTCTCTTGAGGCAGCTGATAGATGATGCAGATGGTGACGAAGTCTTCGGAAGACAGTTCGCACCGAAGAAGAGTACCTACAAAAGAAATGCAAATATTAGTCACGGTTCGAACCGAAGAAAAATATAAAGAAAAGCAACTAGTATACTCACTAAGTGTTGAGTACCTCGTCGGGATCGTAAGGGGTGTCAAGGGGTCTCTCTCCATCGTGTCCTATCGCCCAGCGGCCCAGCACCACAAGCTCTTTCATTCTTTGATGGAGCTCAACAGATCGAGCATGAATGGAGCGTGGGAATCCCATGAAATAAGGTAGTACCACCCCCAGGTCTTATCCCCCGGTAGTTACCTTAGGTATGTAAAGGGTCTGGAAACGTTAAACATACAATTGAAAATAATTTTGGAGGTCATTATGAATGCATCTCGCAAGGATTGCTCAAAAAAATTGGACGATGCTTTATGGGCATATCGCACAGCTTACAAGACACCTATAGGAATGTCCCCATACTGACTAGTTTTTGGGAAAGCATGCCACCTACCAGTGGAGCTTGAGCACAGAGCGTACTGGGCATTGAAGCAGTTAGACATAGACCTTGAAAAGACTGGAGAAACAAGAGTATTACAGCTACATGAGTTGGAGGAATTCAGAAGAGAGTCATATGAGAATGCATCCATCTACAAGGAAAGGACAAAGCAGTGGCACGACAAGAACATCAAGCAACGAATTTTCCGAGTGGCGGATCAAGTGCTATTATACAATTACCGGCTTAAGCTTTGTCCAGGAAAATTGAAGTCTAGATGGTCCGGTCCTTTTAGGGTTTCTTAGGTGTCTCCCTACGGGACAGTTGAATTACACCATCCAATTAAAGGAAATTTCAAAGTAAATGGCCAACATATCAAGCATTATGTGGAAGATTTCCCCACCGCTAAAGAGAGTCTTGACCTAGCTGTTCCCAAATAACTGTGGCACTATGTCCAGCTAATGATTTAAAAGAAGCGCTTCTTGGGAGGCAACTAGGGATGTAAACGAGCCGAGCCGGCTCGTGAGCCGAAACTCGATGCTCGGGCTCGGCTCGAGTAAAATGGGGCGAGCTTTTTACGGGTCCGAGCCGAGCAAAAGCTCGTCCCAAAAAATTAGGCTCGACTCGAGCATTCGGTTCGGGCCTTAGCGAGCCGAGCCGGGCCGGCTCGTTTTTTTTTTTTGTGAATTGGTGACAAATCTAACATTTTTTAAAGAATTTAAAAGTCGTGCAACTTATACGAATTATAAATTAAATAAAAGTTACAACTTACAATCCTCCTATTTTTTTCAGCTTAAAAAATTCATTTATAACTATTATAATATAAGATAATAAATATTAGATTAAAGAATTGAATATTAGAAGTTAGAACAAAGAAATTAAAAAATGATTGAAGAAAACTGATAGAAAATTCAAAATTTTACCTTCATATTTATAGCAAAAAATATTCAACTTAACCAAATTTAAATTTCACATGTAAAATTCAAAAATTTGAACGCCATTATTGTGTTGTAAATTTTCGGCATATGTTATTGCCATGAGAGGCAACTATATTAATATCCTTAATAGGCAGCTAATATAGCTGCCTGATTCAAGGCAGCTTGACAGGCAGCAATCACGTTTGACTGCTGCCTTTGCCTGATTCAAGGTAGCAGTCAAAGCAGCTAATAGGCTGCCTTGATAGACAGCTAATATAGCTGCCTGATTCAAGGTAGCTTGACAAGCAACAATCACGTTAGACTGATGCCTTTGCCTAATTCAAGGTAGATGTCAAGTTTGACTGCTGCCTTTGATAGGCAGCTTACGTATAGTAATTTTTTGTATTTTGATAAAAAAAAAAAATTTATTACTTGTCACGGGCCTGCCGGGGCTCGAGCTGATTCCACAAAATGGGGCTCGATTTCTTTGAGCCATGAGCCGAGCCGGCTCGAGCTTTTTTCAAGCTGAGCAACGAGCCGGTGAACCTTTTTGACATCTCTAGAGGCAACCCAAGCTCTACCCTTTATTTGATTATTGGTTTTTGCTTTGATTTTGTTGTTCCTTTAATAATCTATGCTATAATAGTAACACTTTCTTTTGTTTTTGTAGGAGAATCCATAAATGTTACATGTTGCGGAATAAGAGGTGGAATTTGAGTTCAATGAAAATGGATGAGCGTGATAAGGAGGAGGAGTTTAAAAAAACTGATCTTTGAGGGCTACATGAATGAATTGTTGACGTTGCCAGTTGAACTAAACCAAATTAGAGTAATGTGAGGAAATATTAAGCACAACGAAATTTTAGAATTATACCATGGAGAGAGAATGAAAGAATCAAGTTTGGGGGTGTGTGAATCTTACGAGCGAAGAAATGAAATAATTGACCATTAATGGTTGGGAAATAAACCAACTTGTGAATGTGCGGCACTACGCTTGATCCTCCACACACGCACACCCGCTTCACATTGTATGAGTGGAAGTTTGGTTCTTGTATTGTGATTTTGACATCATTCATAAATGTAATATAACGTTATCAATGCTGAGTCAAAACGACAAGCCGTCTAACTGAATATTTGTGTGTATTGTCTTTGGATGATTTTATTATTTGGTTTGTTTGTTTGCTCGAGGGCTAGCAAACGGTTATGTTTGGGGGTATTTGATGTGTTTTTTTCACTCATGAATTTTGCACAAGTTTAGCTTGATTAAATGCTAGATCTTGTGAGTATAGAACATTTTTGATGTGTTTGTTAGTGTTGTTTTGAAGATTAGGAGAGACGATGCGAAAAGAGGTATTAAAGTGGACAAAGAGACAAAAAATATGGAATTGGGGTAGAAAGACAGCGTTTAGGCGCTGCATTCATAGCGCCTAGGCGCTACGAAACTGAAAAAAGATGAAATTTGAACCCGAGAGGCAGTGTCCAGGCGCTATCATCAGCGCCTAGGCACTGTGATTAAACTGACGCGGAGCCTAGGTGCTGTCTCGTAGCGTTTAAGCGCTGCAATTGAGTGTCTAAGGTGCATTTTTTTTTGGCCATTTTAAAATTCATAAAAACCCTACTTCTACCTAAAACGGAGTGGCACCTATAAATACATCTTTTTGGATACTTTGGAGGGGTTCTTGACACATTGGAGACAAGACAACAAAAAGGGAGATTCAAAAGAGAAATTCAAAAAGATTAATACTAAGCAATTGAAGATTAGAAGCATTCGTTGGAAAGGGAAGGAAATCTTAGTGCAAAAATTCTACTTTTTCTTTTACATCTTTATTATAAATCCGGTGATGTATTTTAAGACTATTTCCTATTTTTCTTCTTGCATTATGAGTAGCTAAATTCATTGTTAGGAGAAATAATGCAACTAATTGGGATCCTTTACATTCTCTTATTAAGATTCTTAGTTTTTAATTTTTCCATGTGTTGATTTTGCTATGAGTTGAATGCATTAAATCATCTGATCAATAATTTGATGATTTTTGTGAATTTTTTACAAATAGAGATATGAGTTTAGGATTTAGACCATGTAGTAAAATTCAGTACATTGGTATAAGGAGTAGAGATACCTATACCATTTATTGCAGTCATAATTGAATTCCTAGGACATAGAACTCGTTTAACTAAGTTGAATTTACATAGAGATATGAAATTTAATTAGTTGGATAGGTTCAATGAGAACTCGAGAGGGGTAAATTGAATACAATAGGAGAATTCGACCGAGGACTACATTAAAATTGAGTTTTAATTTGAGATGCAAAGGTGATCAATTGGTGAAGTTATTCTACCCTAACATCCATTCATTATTTGATTCTCCAACTAATCGTGTGAACATCCATTTATTTTCTAGAATTTAGATTAAAACTTAGATTTTACAACTTTTAATTTGTTTTAGTCAAATAGTAATAAAAGAAAAATTAAATTAAGTGTTAGAAAATAGTCCTTGTGGGATCGACAATTCGGACTCTTAGGTCCGCTATTACTTGTTACGGGTCTTATACTTGTGAAACAATTCCCAAAATATCAAGCAAGGCAAACTATATGAATAGTTAAGTGAAACTTTCACCATGGAAAGCATCCTCCAAATTTTATGTCAGGTTATCTATTCAAATCTACAAGGGCTATGGAGATATATTTGAAGCAGAAAAAGGTTGTGGATTCCTATAATTACAATTACCTTTACACAGATAAATGGCTTAACCAACAATCTGAATTCCAAACAACAAAGATACCTAAAAGGATGGAGAGAGAAGCTCTCAATTCTAGTGAGAGAAAATTCCACTTGAATGCCTCGATTTCCTAAGATTTCTCGTGTATGGTTCGATTTTTGCTTCTCAATGGTGAAAATTGAATTAAACATATTGCATTTTGTTTCGGTTTTGCTCTGATGCCCTTGTTTGAGCCCCATTTTTGCCAAGAAAATGTATTTTTGAATAGTGTAATGATGTGAAATGTGAGGTTAAAAAATAAGGAAAATTTTTAGATTTTTGTGTAATATTGTTTTATTGAAGAATATGTGTTTGAAATGATGTCAAAATACTATTTAAGAATGTATTTTTTCTAAAAAATGGGGTTCGAACAAGGGCAATATGAGTTTTGGGAGATATATTTCAGTTCATTCCAATAAATAGGGTGTTATCTCTTGGAAAGAATTAAAGTTTTTCAAGAATTGAAAATTTTCTCCTCAAATTCTTCTTTTATTTTTTGGTCATAGTTCGTTTTATAAATCAAAATGTTAATTTTCCCTGAGACAACAATTCTAAGTCTTTCGGAACTCATTTCGTTCTATTTGACAGGTAATTGCTCGGATAGCTCTAATTCTAAAACAGCAAAATTATCTTGAGGAAAAGTGTGGAAAGAAAAGTTTTTCAAGAATTGAAAATTTCCCCCTAAAATTCTTCTTTTACTTTTTGTTCGAAGTTTGTTTTGTAAATCAGAATGTAAATTTCCCCTGAGACAACAAGGATAAGTCTTTTGGAACTAACGTTATTCTATTTGAAAGGTAATTGCTCCGACACCTCCGACACTAAAATAGCAAAATTACATTAAGGAAAAATGTGGAGTCGCGTTCTTTCTGTGTTTAAACTCTGTAAAAAAAAAATTATTTCCTGCTCCATTAGAGTACATGAGCACTAAAGAGATGACATTAACAAATCACTCCATTGCTGGAAATCCTCTATATTTTGTAGTAGAACACATAAATTTTGGTTTTTGGCACGATCGAGGTATTTTGGGTTTTTGCCATATTTCTTGCTTTGATATCATGCATGCACTTCAAATCAAGGCCGTGTTCCGAAACTTATAGTCCAATCATCATACAAAACTTTTGTTTCAAGTGGTGAACTTATTTGTGAGTTTAGAAGTGTTAACACACTAAAAGTGCAACCCAAATTGAATAGCCTAGAGAATGAAGTCAATTAGGGAATCCCCAAATCAAATAGCCCAAAGAATGAAGTTCAACTGGGAAATTCAAGATAAAGGTCCAAATAGGGTTACTAATGAATGCAGTGGAAGCCCACGAACACGGTAACATCATCGCCCAAACTTGCAAGATGCCCAAGATCTGAGTGAATGAAGTGCCTTACAGTCGCCCAGAGCTATGACCCTGTTCTCGTCCAAACCTTCGAATCGTCCAAGATTTTAGCAAACATAAGATGTTATGGTTATCTAGAAGTACAGTTATTGAAGCAGTTATCGAGTAACCTTATCACAATCCACGATTCAAGGAGTTCAGTTGAAAACGGTTGAACGACAAAGAGTAGTGGCAGCAGTTAGAGACGGTAGTTCCATGACACGCTAGCCACCATAAAGAAAGTGGGTAATTATAAATCAATTAAG